AATGGACTCCTATGCAAATGTTAGATTTGAGGAGATTCAAAGAAGCTGTAGTGTCATATGGTATGCATTCCCTGTTTGTGAAGCAGATGTTTAACTAAAGGTCAACTTGTAATAGAAGTATCCCTCAAGTCTGGAGAGATTTGGTTACAGCTATCTTAGAAGTTGGTCCCCAATTACAATGGAGGACCTGGTGGAAACATGAAGCTAAGACCATTGAACAATGAAGTAGGGCTAGAGGTATGGAAATCTTCCAAGATCAACTTCTTGGAGAGGGAGATCATGCTAATGTGGAAAGGCAATCTCTATATGATGACCACACCATAGCTTTATGCCGAATGGCAGCCTTGAATGCTTGGGACAGAACTGAAGAAGTAGGAAAGAAAATTGAGTCATTTACAAAAGTTATACAGGGCCCCAAAGAAACCTTCAATGATTTCCTACAAAGGCTGTCTTCAGCAGTAAATAGAATGATACCAAATTTAGAAGCTAGACAGATAATAATTCAATCTCTGGCTTTTGAAAATGCTAATGCACAATACAAAAGGATAATTAGGCTGTTAAAAGCAAGATCAGCACCCTTGGAGGAATGAATCTGGATTACAATGAATATTGAATTTCATGACCATAATGATGCTCAGATAGGAGAGGTGATTTCCAGAGGTTTGAAGAAAAATAGTAATGTTAAATGTTTCAAATGTGGTTAACAAGTCACCTAAAAAGGGACTGTAAACAGGGTGTTCTTAGAAACAATGTTTTTTCAAGGAACAATGGCAACAGAACACCACTCCCTTCTGGATTATGTAGACAATGGGCAAAGGCAAACATTGGACTAAGGAATGTAGATCAACAAGGGACAGACAAGGTAATCCTTTGCCTTTACCATCAAGAAACTCCCCAAAGGAACTCTTGCAGGCCCCCATGACAAATTTGGTTCAGTCCTTTCCTGCCATCATAGAAGAAACCCCTTCCCACAGCAATTAAAGAATGTACTGCCTATTGTAAAAAACCATAAAGCTCAGGGTGATAGAACAAAAATAGAAGAGAGAACATAAAATCAGGAGAAACCATAACTCAAATTTGATAAAGATTAGATTGGGGATCTCTCTAAAGTTAGGTTTAGGGAAGGGTTTTGTTTTTGTCTTTTCAGGAAAATAAAAACAACCATCTTGAGGAATTTAAAGATTTTTGAACAAATAAACATTCACAGAAGAAGGGAGAACTACCTGGAAAAAATTACCAAGAAAAGAAATAATCTGACCCAATTCAAACTTTGAAGTCTCCAAAAAGATGATGGGACCCCACAATGACAATTCCGTCAGTACAATGATAATACCACTAAGCTGACAAACACCACCCAAAGATTGGCTTTGGACTACAAACTGCTCAGGACAATTTTGAGATGGCTAGCTGAGGTAATCCAGCCTCACAGACTACTCGAGCAAGGATTTGAGACAAGCCCTGTACTTTCTCATTATGCAGAGACTGGACAGCAAATGATACAGCTACCTCTCCCAGGACTTGAAAATTAAACCAAAATTTTTCTTTTCAGGATCCCCTAGAGATGTCTTTGCCCCCAATAAGCAGAAAGTAATTTTAAGAACATGAAGCCCACATTCCCAAGAGTCAGGATATGTGGTTTTTGGTCGTTCAATAGGTTATGGATAATTGTCATTGTTTAGGATGGTTGATTACAAGTTGTTAATTGTTAATGGTCAGGAAAAAAGCTAAACAAAGGAAGTTGGATTCAGGATTCTTGTTTAAAAAAAAAGAAAAAAGAAAAGAAGAAGATCTAGATACGATAAGATAAAATGTAGATTATTGTATCTACTCTCAAAAAAGATATAGAAACAATGGATAAGGATAGATTATTGAATCTACTCTGAAAAGAAAAAAGGGGAGGATATAGATATAAGATAAAAAGGTAGATCATTGAATCTACTTTTAGAAAGCAACTCCTAGTTTTAAATATTTTACTTTGGATTGGATTTTTGTATATTGTATACAAATTATGTATATTGATACAAATTTGAGATTGATTTTGTTAGAAAATACTGTACATATATTTCTAATCTTGTTCAAGGTATTGTACCTATACAGATCATTTAACAATGCAATGCAAATTGCTAGTCTTTGAAAGTTTTTATATAGGATATAAAGAAATACAAGTTAGTATTTAGTCACCTATTACAACCAAACTTATAGTCATATTAGGTATGTTTTCAAGGTCAAACAGAAATATATTTTAGACATAAAGGTCATCTTCAAACACTTCAGAGATCTACAGAATATGGCATTTAAGATATTTTAGTAACATAGATTCTTTTCTTATGACAATGAGGCATGTCTGCTCCTGGCAGCACCAATATAATTCAGAGAAGATGATGGGCATCAAGAAACTCCACATGGAGTTTACTTTCTTTGTAGCAGGTTAGCCACTGGGCAAAAAAATGCCCTTGCCTCGACGGCTGACTGTATGCTGTCCAAAATGGACAACCAGACAAAACAAAAGACTGCCAATCCTTGTCAAGACAAGGTAGGAATGCCCCTTAAAAAATCCTGCCTCACAGATGCGTCTGTCTGATAGACTAGGCCTGTAGGCCAAAGATGGATGCCCCAATGTTGCAGAGAAACCTCCGTGACTGTCCAGGCAGTCAGTTGTTTCTGTCATTTCTCACATTTTTTAGAAGTCACTTGTTTGCACTTCCTGCTTACTCAGTTAATGTTATTTCCTTCTTGGGTCTCTGAGGGAGTTGAAGACTAGATAGTTATAGTTTTCCTTGTTAACAAATTCAGAAAAGAAACTCACTGAAGAACTGTAAAGTGTATAAGATTGAAAGATATCAAAATATATTTTTGGCTGATAATACAAGTTAGGATAGAAAGTGAATTAGGTACATTTTGGACTCACCAAACTAGGACAAATAGTGAAGTACTTTCTCTGAATTTGTCAAATGTTAATGGACTGGACATTGTTAATGTAATTCTTGACTGTATACATTGTGTATACTTATTGTACTTAATGTATATAATTTTTCTAATATTAGTTATAACCTTCTTTTATTATTTTAGACAAAAAAGGGGAAATGTGATATTTTGTGTACCCTAACAAACTTGCCTAAGGATCAGAAGACAGAGCTAGCACTAGATTAGACACTTAGGTGTGTCCTGAGTATCTCTCTTCAGATCAAACTCTGTGCTTATAATCTACTTCAAAACTGTCTCCATATAAACTGAAACTCATCCTAAAAATAGACATTTGTCAAGGAGAATGATATATATTTAAAATGACAATATATTCCCAATTTCTCACTGGTTCTATCCATTAGTTATTCTTGATTTCATTTTATCCTGGATAGCAGACAGGTTGCCATACTATGATCATATGAGGCCAGTTGCCTCTACTAGTAAGAGGGATTTCCTCAGAATCCTGCTGATTGTTGTTCCCTCACATATGTGTGTCTACCTGAAAAATGATTTCTACTTATGGAGAAAATTTTCCTAAGAAGCTGAACACTGCATCAATTGGATAACTCTTCACTTTGTGAGAAATGGTCAAGATGGTGGTAACAGAAAGGACACACTGAAGCCTGGGTTCTATCCAGACCCTGTTTTTAAGTTTGTGTGTTACCTAATCACATGGAACTTTAAATCTGTGATTAGAGAAGGAACTTAAGGAGGCATCTGTATCAATACTTTGGTTTGTGCAGTTTCTTTCATGAAGAAGCCTGTACCTACAGCATGGCTTCCATACTACATTAGAAACAGCACACACAACCTTCCCTCAAGGGCCAGAACAGAGGTGATCACTGCTTTTCGAGACCAGGCATGCCCTTGAATTCGTGTGCATGTGTGTGTGTTTGTGTGTGTGTGTGTGTGTGTGTGTGTGTGTGTGTGTGTATACACATATACATATATATGCTTTGTGTTTGTTATTTGACTGCAAGAAACCGAAGAAGCAAATGCAAATAGTTTTAAAAGGGAAGTTGGGAGAGAAAGTTGTTTACCCACTTGTCCTAGATGGATGCTAACATTAGGAAGGAGAAGAAGAGATGAAGAGCTGTGTAGTTCATTCACTTTCAGATGAGGTTGTAGACTATGTCTTCTATTGACTATTGAAAAGCGTATCATATCACATCTGCCAACACACATACACACACACATGCACACAGTGAAAAGAAGATATATCTTTACACTGGCAGCTCTCAACTACTGTAGGAATAAGAAATAACAGCTATTGAAATTTGTGAAGGGACAGATACAGGTATATAAGTGAAATCAACATCCTCCATGATTGTTGGCAGTTCTGGTTTTCATGGGCTCCGATGTCTTAACATGAATGCTTACTTAGTGAATGAAATTTATCTTTCTCCATGATTTTAAACCAAAACCAAGTATAGAAAAATACAGAACTATAAAAGCTTATTTTGTATTAGTTAGCAAATATTGACTTCATAATGTTTGCAGTTGTATTGACTCAACAACCATCTCTAGGGACATGAAGAGTTCATACTCTGTAATCACTGAAAACACATTAACAATTCCTCCCAAATACAAAGGTTCTTCTTCTTGGTTAAATAGTTAATGCAATCTTGAAAAACATCACTTACACAAATGGTTTTAAGAAAAATACCTGAGATTCATTGATACTTGAGAAAATAAGCTGACAATGTATGAAAAAAGTATGACAATGTCCATACTTTTAAATTGCTAGTTTTAAGACTTGCTTTTTGATAGGTAATCATGAAAAAAATCAGCTATTCCATCTCATTTTATTTTGAATGGAAAGACATAATGACCAGGATATAATTGATTGATGTGGAAGTTAAAATAAAATCTAAGCATATTAACTTATTTTAAATTAATTTAATATTGATCAAGTCAAGGATCATAAATGATTAAATTTTTGTGTGTGTGAAAATGAGTACTAAGTTACAGCCACATTTTAAAAGTTTGAAATCAAAGCAGAAAATGAAGCTGGTGCTAATTAAGTGAAATCTTACCTGATGTTCCTTTTTCTCTTTTCTTCTCGGTTCTCCCTAAAATGAGAAGAGAAGTTACAGTGGAGGGCTATGAGAATTTAATAATATAATTAGGATGAACACTCAGCTAGTGGTAATGTCAGCTCAGAACCACGATCTCTGAGCTGTGTCCTGCATTATTTTAGTAATGAGTGCTCATAGTTGACAAGGATAAAAATTGCTTTCAAGTCACCTCATAAAAATGAAACTATAAGAATGTAAGAAATACTCTGTTGGGCTTTAAAATTTCTGTTAGTAAGAAGGCACTTTGATAACACGACCATTCAGTAGTAGGTTCCACCTAGGGCCCATGACATCTTAGCCGTGGGATTTTGATCAGGTTTAGGGTACCAAGCATAAATTCCTTCCTATATACCAGTCCTGAAATCTAACCATGCATGGCTATCCTATAACAGCAATGCCACTATTGTACCAGTGGTTATATCTTGCCTGACAGGTGGATATTGTAGCATGTAGGGTCTAGCATTGAATAAGACTATTGATAAAATATTTTTCCCAACAATAAACCTAAAAGGCAATTGCTGTGTAATGCTTTTGTACACTGGTTTAATAAAACACTGATTGGCCAGTAGCCAGGAAGGAAGTATAGGAGGGATAAAGCAGACAAGGAGAATTCTGGGAAAAGGAAGGATGAGTGAGGAGATGCCAGCCCTCCATCCAAGGAGCAGCATGTAATGGCACACAGGTAAAGCCATGGAACACATGGCGACATACAGATTAACAGAAATGGGCTGAGTTTAAAAGTCAGTGGTAGGCCTGAGATAATGGTCAAGCAGTTATAATTAATATAAGCTTCTGAATGATTATTTTATAAAAGGCTGTGGGACTGTGGGTGAGAGATTTGTCCCAACCATGGGCCAGGTGAAATACAGAAAAACTACTATAGGTAATCATTCCTATATAAAGCTCTATGGAGGGAAAGTTGAAGCAAATAAGACCAACCATGAACTCTAACAGCATACTTGAAAGATAGGACAGGCTATTTAACATGAGATGAAATATACACCAAGAGGTGTAGGATGTTGAATGATAGAAGAGAATCAAATAATTGTACTAAGAAAGGAGAGAATGCCTGTGAAACTCTGGAGATAGTGATGCTTGATTTGGTATTTAGATGTACACAGGATTTGGGACAGTTGAGACAGGGATGTACACATGCAATTCATCTAGGGGAAATGTTTCGAGCTTGCTTTGGGGACATGTCCTCTAATATCAGTATATGAGATTTAACCAGTAGGCAATAAGAGTTAACTGTGTTAGTGAGAATGGGCAGCAGTGGCTGCCAGAGGAGATGGGGTTTCAAAACAGAGCCCAAGGACTTACAAAAGGTGAGTTGCAAAGCAGGTGGCAAGGTCGAGGTTATGCAGATGACATGGAGGCATATGGCAATGCTCTTGCAGGAGTGATAGGGTAGGAGTTTGTGTGGATTTACTGAGTTTGAAGTGTTATGGGAATGGGAGGGTTGGCGGAGATCAAAGGTTGAGATCATACATGCAGGGCATGTCCATCTTCTGCAGATGGCTGAAGTTTAGGGTTGAATGGAATACTAAGACGAGTAGGCTGAAGTCAATAACTAAGAACGCATAACACCACTTCTCTGTTGTGTGTGGACCAAGAGAAAGCAGAAGCAGCAGAGATCCTTGGAAGATAAGGGAGAGCTGAGTTGAGAACAAACAATGAAGTTTGGGGTTCCAACAGCATCCAAAGTGGTCAAGTTCACTCACAATCACAGGGTGTCTGTGTGGGAGGCAGCGGTGTCATTAGCGAGAGGCAAGAAGAGGAGGGAGCAGTGGGGGAGACGGGGCTGAGGGCGCAGCTTCTTCCTCATGAATCTCTGCAGCACATACATGGGTTTGATGGGACACTAGCTCTAGCTGGCACCGGTGATGCTAATGATAATCTATGGGGCACTTTCACAAGCTTCTAGGTCGGGAGCTTTGCCCCAGGATAATGGTATGAACGGACACCAGAAGGAGGCGAAAGCACCGTCTTCGCTTGAGCAAATGAGAGCCATCCCTCCAGCTGTCACCTTCTTGTCGCCTAGCAGTATTTCATGGCGGAACATTATCAAGGAGTTATATAATACACCCAAGCTATGTGTAAAGTTTATTCAACTGCTTCTTCAAGGCCTTACTATCTTTAAAAAAATGCTACAATACAAGATGGGAAATGTGTAGTTTTCCCTCCCATAGTTGCCTGAATTGGAGAATCTCTTTAATTGACACCTTGATTAATCATTTTCATCTGGGCTATTTCCAGAAGATTTGTTGGTTGCAATTTGTTTCAATAATTCAAATAGATAAATAGCATGAGCAGTCCATTTAAAGGCCTCATTTGTTACCAAGTGGGGTGTATGTTCCCTTTTGTAAGTTTTCTACAGGATGAGCCATCCTTTACCAGTTGGTTATAGACTTAGGACTGCTAGATGCCTCAAATGTTTTCATGAACTTCTTTAAAATTTTTATGCAAAGCTTGGCTTAACAGTATTTGTAAAATAGTAAGGCTTTGGAGGGTCTTTAACTTCTATTAGAATGAATTTTAGTAAATCCCAAGTTGAAAGTGAATGTGTTTAAGGCAATCATGGTATCCTCAGTGGTCCATATCTTCCCTCCTCCCAGCACTCAAGTTCCTTTGAAATCTCTCTCACCACTGAATTAGACAGACTTGTGTAAAGACGATTTTGTAGAAATGGTGGAGTGTGACCTCCAAGGCTTGGCATAAAACCTGCAGTTCCCATCATTCTGTCCCTTGAAACTTTTCCTCTGGGGGAAGTCAGATAATGTGTGTGAGGATAACCACATAGCCCCATGGAAAGGTCCATGCGGCATTGAACAGAGATCTATCAACATCCAAGGAGGGTCAAAAGCTCATGTCAGCAGCATCAGCAGCCCATAGGCTCAGACAACCTAGTCATTAGCCAGAGTCAGGAACTTAGATTTCTCTCGTTCTAGCTGTTATCATAGATGCAAGTTCCTGGGAGTCCTGGACCCATGGTGTTACATTCGAATGAGGAATGTCACTTATGAGCTTCTGTATTTGAACACTCCAGTGGAAGGTGCTGTCTGGGAAGGCCACTGAATATTTAGGGGATGGAGCTTTGTTGGAGGAAAGACTGTCGGTGGGAGGGGTGGGGGTAGGGATGGGGGCTTTGAAGCTTTATGTCTGGCACCACTTTCTTTCTCCCCGCCTCCGAAATGTGATTGGCTAGCCTCATGCTCTTTCTGCCACACCTTCTCCACCACAGTGGACCACATTCTCTCTGGAACAGTTAGCCAAAACAAACATTTTCTCCTTCAAACTGCTTTATGTCAGGATATTTTCCTCACAGCAAAAGAAAAAGAATCCATACACAGGGCCATCCATTCAGACATTCAGAAGATCCCCGCAGACACTGTGTGAAATAGTAAAAGTTTATTATTGTTTTGAGTGGGGAAATCATTACAAATATGCTGAAAGCCTCGGTCAGTTCACCGTGTGATGTAATGGGCCTGCGGTGAGGCTGGCCACAGGCAGCCTCCCTGGCTTGCTCTTTATTAAAGTGGGGAACCAGAATCTGCTTCTTTGGAGTGCTACAGAAATGAGATGATTAGATATGGTGAGCCCACATAAGTAGATGAAATTCCTGTGAGATCTTGGGACCAATGTTTCAGGAGGGAGCCTAGAAGGCATGGTAGAAATTTTTACTGAGACTTTAAACAAACTTGGCTCCTGGGTTCTAAGAGCTTTGTAACTTTTTAGGTGCTCACATAAATGTTACGTAATGATTCTTTCCCACTAGCAGACCTATCACAGGAAACAAGAGTTAGATTTCTATTTTAGTTGTATACACACTAAACTTCAAATTACAAAGATAAAGTACGGAAGATGGATTACACTGACCAAGGGACACTAGGCTTGTATGCTTGCACAGAGACAGCACACGGACTGTCTTTTCGGTCGCTTTATCTTGTGCTGAGTGGATGATCTTATCTTGTGCTCTACCAACTTTTGTTTTCAGAACAAGAAATTAGTCTGCAACCTACATCTCATGACCCAAAGTCTACTTAGGTTTCCAGTCTAGTGGAAATCCCAGCCAGTGTATATCCCAAGTCCATAGCAGGTGATTATCATATTCTCCAAAGCCATTGAGTCCTGGTGGGTCTTACTCAGGCATCTGAACACAAACCTAAGTCTCCCCAGCACCTCCATTTCCTGAGCCTCTAGACTCTTCCTCTATAAGGCCTTTCACTACCCTCCTCTCTCACTGCCATCACAGCGGTCATGAGCTTGACCTCTTTTCCTGAGAGGTTCCTGACTGACTTCATTGGCTTTTCTGTTCTTATCTCTCTCTGCTGAGGATGAAAATCCCTCCATGTCTTTTAACATGAAATGTGTGACCCTGGATGGTTTTTCTACCCTTGCTTCTTGCCTCCATCCATCAAGTACCGCTCACAATACTCATTTTGTAAGAAATTACACCTTCCTCAAAAGCTTCCATCCTATGCCGTTTCTGCTTCCTGGAATGCCCTGCCTTTTAATTCCTGCTTTCAAAGTCTTGTTCACCCTTAGAGCCTCGTGCATAGAACAGTCCTGTGAAGCCCTTTCCTCTCAGGCAGTTTTCTGAGATCCTTCTCTTGTGCTCCCCTGGCTCTTTATTTACATCTCAAGCTCTAACTCAGCGCTTGGCTGATGCTCAGAAACAGTGAACCCTATCTCTGCCTCCTGATGCCTTCTACTATGCCTTAAACACTAGCACTTGGGATGGTGCTGGCATCCGGAGAGCCTCGTCACACCCCCACCCATCCAGAAACACCAGAGAACATGAAGCTGATTTTAGTGCTGCTCAGATTTAGTGAATGTACAATCAGAATATAGCTCTTAGCAGGTATTTATATTAAAACTGACAACCTAGGAAACTATTCTATTAGAAAAGTGGGTGATAAAATAACAGAGAGGCTTTCAGAATAATGAGCAGGCATTCTGTCCTAGTTATTCTTTATTTTATCACACTCTGGTTT